TCCTAGAACCGAACCTTGGGGCACTCCACTAGAAACCGACCGCCATCCTGACATCGAGCCATTGATCACTACCTGCTGGGCCCGGCCTTCTAGCCATCTTACCATCCATTTATCCAAGCTGCATTCCCTTAACTTGCTGGCAAGAATATTGTGGGAGACGGTATCAAAAGCCTTGCTAAAGTCAAGGTATATCACATCCACTGACTTTCCCATGTCCACAGAGCCAGTTACCTCATCATAGAAGCTAATCAGATTGGTCAGGCACGATTTTCCCTTTGTGAATCCATGCTGACTATTCCTAATCACTTTCCTCTCTTCCAAGTGCCTCAAAATGGATTCCTTAAGGATCCCTTCCATGATTTTTTCAGGAACCGAGGTAAGACTGACCGGCCTATAGTTCCCTGGATCGTCCTTCTTCCCTTTTTTGAAGATGGGCACTACATTTGCCTTTTTCCAATCATCCGGGATTTCTCCCAGTCTCCATGACTTTTCAAAGGTAATGGCCAAAGGCTGCTCAATGACATTTGCCAACTCCCTCAGTACCCTCGGATGCATTAAGTCCAGACCCATGGATTTGTGTACGTTTAGCTTTTCTAAATAGTTCCTAACCTGTTCTTTACCCACCAAGGGCTGTCCATCTTCATCCCAATCTTGTATCACTTAGCGCATTAGTCCGGGAGCCCACCTTGTCCATGGATACAGAGGCAAAGAAAGCATTGAGTACTTCAGCTTTCCCCACATCATCTGTCACTAGGTTACCTCCTTCATCCATTAGGGGCTGCACACCCTCTCTGATCATTTTCTTCTTGTTAACATGCCTGTAGAAACCTTTCTTGTTATCCTTCACGTCCTTAGCCAGTCGCTTCACCAACTTCACCAGTTGTAGAAGGCAATATCTTTGAATCCCAGAAGATAAAGTAACATTTAAAGATACACTCTCAGATCTCAAAATTTGCTGTCAGACATTCCATACTTGTAAACGAAGAGACAAATTGCTAAGGGGCAATTTACTGCCTGGGTTACATATCAGCCTTACTAATTACCTCACCCCAGTCACTTTTCTTGCCAACTGCACAGCCTGCTGCCAAGAAGCCTGTACATTCCAGCAAGAGTCTTGTCTTGCACACACTTGTGCAGGTATGTATCTTTATTTCTGTGAGCTGAAGATACACTGTGGGATGATGTCAGCTGAATATTCCATATATGATAGGTCTTGATTCAGCAAGGTACTTAAGCACATGCTCAACTTGACTTCAATGGCTCTGCTAGACTTGTGCTTAAGTATCTGAGGGTATGTCTACACTACCCCCCTAGTTCGAACTAGGGGGGGTAATGTAGTCATACGGAGTTGCAAATGAAGCCTGGGATTTGAATTTCCTTGGTTTCATTTGCATGAAGCCTGCCTGCGCCATTTTTAAATGCCGGCTAGTTCGGACTGCGTGCCGTGTGGCTACACGCGGCACGAACTAGCTAGTTCGGATTAGGCTTCCTACATGGAACGAGGCGTACAGCAAGTTCGGATTAGGAAGCCTAATCTGAACTAGCTAGTTAGTGCCGCGTGTAGCCGCGCGGCACGCAGTCCGAACTAGCCGGCATTTAAAAATGGCGCAGGCAGGCTTCATGCAAATGAAACCAAGGAAATTCAAATCCCAGGCTTCATTTGCAACTCCGTATGACTACATTACCCCCCCGTGTAGACATACCCTTACTGAATTAGGGTCTAAGTGATTAATGACTTGCGTCACTCCAGTCCAAACTCACAGGACAATATCAAGAAAGGGCCATGATATGTGTGAGAATGATTCTGATATTATGGAGCAGGTTTTACCAACTGAGGAGTGTTACTTTGACTGTTCCAATCTTCCCCGCCTGCCCCACCTTTGACCCATGTTAGTGTTATACTCTTGCAGTGCCATGGGCAGCATTGGTTTATATGTGACTCTCCTTTTTTTTTGCCATTTGGAAGCAATGTCTAAAGGTCTTGATTGTGTTCCCCATATTTATCTTCACTGCTGGGGGCATAGATAGCAAGTAGAGAAAACAGAAAATACCAACCCCCAAACAATGTAGCATGCAGAAAATTATGAAAACAGCTTTTGTCATGCTATTAAAGAGATCATTTCAATGGCAGCATTCCGTTATGGATTCTATGCCCTTAGGTTTTACTCCCTGGAATGAAGATGTATTCATTAACGACACATGTTATGCTACACTATAGATGAATGCATGTGCATTGGGCATACTGTTTGTTTTATACACTGACATTTCTGCCTCCATTAATAGGCAAACCGGTACCCCTCAATTGTTATACATATTTTAAGTAAAGAGGAAAAATTATGTGGTAATCACAGATCACTGTGTGGCTATGCTTAGACTACATCCCTCTGTCGGCAGATGTATCATGGTTCTTTCTTGATATTGTCCTGTGAGTTTGGACTGGAGTGACGCAAGTCATTAATCACTTAGACCCTAATTCAGTAAGAGTATGTCTACACTACAAAGTTAATTCGAATTAACGGACGTTAGTTTGAATTAACTTTGATAGGCACTACACTAGTGCTCCGCTAGTTCAAACTTAATTCGAATTAGCGGAGCGCTTAGTTCGAACTAGGTAAACCTCATTCCACGAGGACAAAGCCTAGTTCGAACATACTAGTTCGAATTAAGGGCTGGGTAGCCCCTTAATTTGAACTAGTGGGAGGCTAGCCCTCAATAGCTTTCCCTGCTGGCCACTCTGGCCAACACCAGGGAAACTCGTCTGCCCCCCTCCCGGCCCCAGACCGCTTAAAGGGGCACGGGCTGGCTACGGTGCCCGTGCCAGGCGCAAGCCTGCCAGCACCCAGCCAGCAGACCCTGCACCTGGCACGGATCGAGCCACCCAACCGATGCCCCCAGCCCTCCCTCTCTTCCCGGAACCAGGCTGGCGGCTCCTGGGAGCTTGCCCGGGACCGCAAGAGGCGGGCTCCCGCCTGGGCTAGTGCAGACATCGTGGACCTTGTCCACGATCTCCTCACTAGGCACAGGAAAGTGGCCGTCTAAGG